TCAACTGCAAACGCGGCAGACAATGCCTTCCCAAAAAAGTGCAGTTTTACTTTTAAGGACAGGAAATTCTCCTGCAGGCCATCTGTGCTAAACAGAGGGTGCAGATATAACTCTTCTTGTTTTGGACCACCCAATTTGCATAAAAATAAGACAAGATTAAAAGTGTTGAGTTTTCCCCACCCCATGGAAAAGGAGCAAATGAAAAATCCTCTCCTGAGCTGTGGCTGCTACTTGCTGAGCATTCAGAGTTCGAGAATCACACTTGGCTCATGACCAAGGGTGTCCAAAAATAGCAAAAGCCAAACTTTTGGCTCAGAGTTGAAATGCTGACGTTCCTCTTCTCTATGGCCTGCTGGTCAACGGATGCCTTGACCAAGACCTGGTTTTCTAACTTTACACCTTTCGCCTACACCTGCTGTTCTGGGCTATGAAACAACAGCAGCAATTCATCCCTTGGCTCACTGCAAATCATGTGTGCAAACATAGAACCTGGCTTGGGCTGCTTTGCCTCTGACTTACTTTGCAACATCCTCTCCCTCCAGAGGAATCTTGCTTTGAACAAAAGTAACCCACAGTGGAGGATCAACTTCACTTTACTGTTAGGATATTTCCGTTCCACCTTAAAAGGGAGCAGGTTTTGTGAGTCAGAGTCTGCGTATTTCCTGTTCACAGGATGTTTATGTTTTCTGTTGCTTTCGTTTTCTCTCTCTGTGTCGTAGACACTAAAGCAGGCAGTCATATTTTTCTGTGTTCTGATCAACGCTGAATAAACTTGTAAATAATGCTCTCCTGAGTGCAACTTTTTGGCTGTGCATTATCTGCTGATAGAGCGTGCATGAGCTCTGGAATGTGGCAAGATATTTTCTAGAAACTCATGTCGCTGCGTGCCTACTGGAGGTCGATGGATCGTCCGGCAGACGGCTTGGGGGCCTTGATGGACTTTATCTCCCTGGCAGTATCCCAACAACAGGTTTCGGGCCCAGATTCACAGCACTTACAGGAGAGTAAGACTGCGAGAGACTACTGAAAGGTATTTGGCGGAAAAGCGAAAGTGAGGCTTTTCTGTTTGCCGCGGAAGAGTCTTTGAACTCCGGCTGGCTTAATGGATCTGGGAGCCGCGCCAAAGGCTTCGTGATTTATGAGCTGCCGAGATAAGAACTTTTTAAAGGCTCAAGGCTCAAGTAAAAAGCTGGAATGGAGTTTTTCCAAGCTTCTGAGGCTGCTGAGTGCCCAAAGTTATATCGGCACAATTATCAGACCTGGGCAAAATGGTGTGAGAGTTTGCTGCGTCAGTTTGGAGTGTGGCATACTGTGTGTGAGGCCCCTCCAGTTCCTCTGACAGATAGATGGAAGGCCGAAAATTCGAAGGCGATAGACGTAATAGTCTTGTCCGTCTCTCTGGAGGAAATAAAAACGCTTGCTGGCAACACCACTGCACGTAAGATGTGGCATGCTTTGAAGATAGCCCATCTGCCAGTCATCCCAGCCCAGAGTTTGACTGCATCGGAGGTCCTGGCTGTTTCCCAGAATGCGAGTGAATGCAGGGATGCCGAGGGCACCGGTTGCAAGCTGCAGGGGGAGCTGACTGTCACGTCATCCCAGGCAGCATTCCAGCCTCCAGGGGGAGCCAAGGAGTCGGCAGCTGAGAGCTCTGTTTCTCATGGGAGCCAAGGTCATCGCCTTTGCAGAGGCCGGAAGGCCAGAAGTAAACAGAGGCAGATGCCTGCAGATGGCCAGAAGCAGAGGGAGGGTGAAGAGCCCACGCCAGAGAAAAACAAGGTTTTGTTTGCTGGCACAGCTTCACCAAAGGCTAAAGGCAAGTCTGATGGCCAGGAGCAGGGGGGCAAGCTGCAAAAGCCCACGCCGGTGGAAAACAAGGTTTTGCTTGCTGCAAAGGCTGCTCCAAAGGCCAAAGCCAGGTTTGTTGTTGATTCAGGCTGTACCCGCCATGTCTCAAAAGACCGCCATCTCTTTATCTCCTTCAAGCCTCAAGAAGGTGAGATCCACCTGGCTGATGGAAAGACGTTGCGAATTGCAGGAGAAGGGACTGTGAGACTGGCAAGTCTGCACACTACCATCAAAGATGTACTATATGTTCCAGGTGCTGCAGACAATTTGCTCAGTGTCTCACAGCTGACTGGGCATGGTTTTGAGATTTCCTTCAAGAGGAGCGTTTGTGTCATCAGAAAAGGCAAAGAGGACATTTTGCATGCAAAGTTTATGGATGGCTTGTTCTGTATAACTTATGATGACATTGGTGCTGTTGTGTCTAATGCTGATTCTTGTTGTGTTGCACAAACTAACAAAGTTCTTCATGCAGGATGCATTCATGATGCACACGGGAGGTTTTGTCACCTCTCTTGGAAGGCACTGGCCAAGATGCCAGAGATGGTTGAGGGTTTGAACCTCAAACCCTGTAAGTTTCACATGAAATGTGTATCTTGTGCAGAGAACAAGGTGAAGGTTGCTCCAAAAGGCAAGGAGTCTAGCAGGCAGGCTTCCAAACCCTACCAGCTAGTGCACGCAGACCTGGTTGGTCCACTTGCGCCCTCTTTGGGTGGAGCAAGGTACTTCATGGTTCTAATTGACTCTTTTTCCAGGTACATTCATGTGTTTGTGCTCGAGCAGAAATCGCAAGCGTTTCCTAAGTTCAAGGCATTCTGTGCTTGGTTGGAGAATGTTCACGGTAAACGTATTGGCTGTCTCTTTACTGATCGAGGCGGGGAGTTCACTTCTCAGCAGTTTGAAGCTTTCCTGACTGAGAAGGGAATCCAGCATGACTTGTCAACGCCTAGATCGCCATGGATGAATGGGCTTGCGGAGCGAGCAAATCAAACGTTGCTGCAAGGAATGAAAACATTGTTGCATGATGCCAATCTCCCTGATAAGTTTTGGGGGGAGGCTCTGTCGAATTTTGTTTACACTTTTAATCGCAGATTGTCATCACCTATTGGTTGCACCCCCTATGAGAAGATGTTTGGTAAGAAACCCAACATCAAGCACATGAGAATCTTTGGTTCTGACATGTGGGTACACACCCCACAGAGCAACAAGCTTGGGAAGCGTGGGGCACATGGTTTGTTCATGGGGTACGAAAAAGGTGCATACAGGGTGTGGATGACCAACTCTAAGTCCATTAAGTTCACAAAGAGTGTTGAGTACAATCCTAAGTGGGGGGGAAATGTGGGAATTTTCCAGAGTTACCCAGAGGAGGATGAAGGTGATGTCAAAGAAGCAGCTAAAGCTGAGGAAGCTGCTGAGGATGATGATGATGATGATGATCAGAGTTTGGATTCCAGTTCAGTGGGCGGCGCTGCTGCTGGTGTCAGTGACAGTGATGACACAGCAGACTACAAGAGCGCAAAGGCCTCAGTCAGACCATCTGATGCGTCTGACAATGAACTGGAAGAACCACTGTTCACCATTGGTCACTTTTCTCCTAAGAAGAAGGAGATGAGTCCAGAAGACTTGCGTCTAGTACGCAGATCTGAAAGAGCCACGAAGGGCAGACCTCCAAAGAGATTTGCTGATGAGTTTGCTAAGACAGCAACTGCTGTTCTTAGTAGCTCAGAGAAGGTGTGGGAACCTTCAAGCTTCAAAGAGGTTCAGGAGTTAACCTCTAAAGATGCTGAGCCTTGGCTAAATGCCATAAAGGCTGAAGTTGATTCCTTGAACAGGAACCAAACTTGGGAACTGGTACCGGTAGTCCCAGGAATGAGACTGGTTGGCAGCAAATGGGTCTTCAAGGCCAAGACAGACCAGAATGGCAAGGTAGTCAGACACAAAGCCAGATTGGTTGCCAGAGGTTTTTCACAGGTACCAGGACAGGATTACCACGAGACCTATTCACCCACAGTCAAATATGAGAGCATTCGGCTGATGCTCAAGATTGCTGCAGAGGAGAAACTGCATGTTTCCCATCATGACATTAATACAGCTTTTTTGTACGGGATTTTGGAGGAGGAGCTGTTTATGCTTCCACCTGACGGGATGCAGATACAGAAGGGAATGGTCTGTAAGCTGCGGAAATCCTTATATGGTCTCAAGCAGAGTGCTAGGTGTTGGAACACAAAACTCACTGAGGCGTTGCTTTCTCTAGGTTTTCACCAGGGCAAAGCTGATCCATGTGTGTTTGTCAAGGAGGAGGGGCAAAACAAACTGTATTGTTTATGTTTTGTTGATGATCTTCTGATGTTTTGGAAGAATCAGGCTTTGTACCAAAGCACCCTAGCTCAGCTGAAGGAGCACTTTGACATGAAGGATCTTGGTGAGGTATCCAACTATCTTTCTCTGCAGGTGGAGAGGGACCAAGCAGGTAATTTTCTGGTACACCAAACACAGAAAATTGCTGATGTATTAACCAGGTTGAATTTGGTTGATGCAAACCCAGCAGACACACCGATGGTGACAGGTTACCAGGTAGATAGTACTGCTGAAGCGTTTTCTGACATTACGCTATACAGATGCATTCTAGGCAAGTTGAATTTCATTGCTAGATGCTCAAGACCTGACATAGCTGTAAGCACTAACCTGCTTAGCAGACATGCTAACAATCCTACTGTTCAGGATTGGAAAGCTCTGAAGCGCATAGCCCGCTATTTGAAAGGGACTATGCACTACAGGCTGAGGTTCACCAGTCTGAAGACTGGAGGTCTTGAAATCTTTGCAGATGCAAGTTTTGGAAGTGACACCACGGATGGTACAAGCACTTCTGGAGTATGCTACATGTACAACCACTGCCTGTTTCACTGGTTGTGCAAAAAGCAGACGACAGTGAGCCTAAGTTCCTGTGAAGCAGAACTCAATGCTCTGTCATTTTCACTCATGGATTGTGAATGGTTGATGCAACTGTTTAAGGACATCAGAGTTTCTGTGAAATGTCCTGTACAAGTGTATCAAGACAATAGATCGTGTTTGGCTTTGCTGAACTCAGAGAGTTGCAAGCAAAGAACCAAGTACTTGCTGATTAAGCTACATCGTGCAAGAGAGTGTATTGAGAAAGGACTCATTCAGGTGTCCTACATGCCAGGAAATGAAATTCCTGCTGATCTGTTGTCTAAGGTTGTTAACAGAGAACAACTTAAGGTTTACGTACAAAGGTTGCAATTGGGTTGAACCACAGGTACTACAGGTTACACGGAAAGGGGGAGGATGTTAGGATATTTCCGTTCCACCTTAAAAGGGAGCAGGCTTTGTGAGTCAGAGTCTGCGTATTTCCTGTTCACAGGATGTTTATGTTTTCTGTTGCTTTCGTTTTCTCTCTCTGTGTCGTAGACACTAAAGCAGGCAGTCATGTTTTTCTGTGTTCTGATCAACGCTGAATAAACTTGTAAATAATGCTCTCCTGAGTGCAACTTTTTGGCTGTGCATTATCTGCTGATAGAGCGTGCATGAGCTCTGGAATGGGGCAAGATATTTTCTAGAAACTCATGTCGCTGCGTGCCTACGGGAGGTCGATGGATCGTCCGGCAGACGGCTTCGGGGCCTTGATGGACTTTATCTCCCTGGCAGTATCCCAATACTAGACCCAGTGGCGTAGTGGGCTGCGGGGCACAGGGGCAGTTGCCCCAGGCACAAAATTGTTAGAGGTGCACAATTTCAGCACCTGGTGCTGCCTCAATACAGCTGCACGCTTCCATCACTGGGGTCCAATGACAACGGCTTGTCCATGCGATCAGGTAAGTGACCTCTCCAGACAATGGGGTGGCTCTTCTTTTCTTATCTCTGTGGCTGTGATCCCCTGGGTGATGTGGATGCCATTAGGCAGTCGAATGCGCATGCATACTCCGTCTGTTTCCCTCCCTCCTACCCCCTCCTCCACGTGGCCCTGGGAACTGGCAAGCCATCCTATGTCTCTGACTAGGCAGAGCTCTGGCACCCTGCTACCTTGGTGGAGTCTACCTCTTTCCAAACCTGAGCAATTTTATCTGGAAAAAAATTCATGACAGGAGTCATTACAGGAGATCTTGGACTCTGTATCAGACCCTGATGGCAAAGGTGGTTCTGTTAGACTATGAACCACCTGAAAGAGTCTCCTGGTACTGTTTTCACCAACAGATCCAGCAACAATGGTCCTCCTCACCGTCGCTATCGCCACTTGGTAGGCTCGACGTTGAGCTCTAACCCTTGTTTGGTCTCATTTGACGTGGGTTTTTCACCACCAGCACTTTAGCTGTCTCAGGAATTGTTTCCTCACCCTCAGCCCCAGGGGTAGAACCACAGGGTCATCCAAGTGCCATGCCATTGGAGAGGGTGCTTTTTAAGGTTTGTGGAGCAGCACACTCTTGTTCCCCACCACCAAATGTGCTTTCCATGTGTTTGGCCGCCGTCTATCGGGTCTCCCCAGATGAATTTGCTATTAGAAGGAGGCATGTGAAGCCATAATCCTGGGAAGAGATTCTGGAGAGAAGCACTCGACCCAATTTTAGCCTTTGATTCTGTGAGAGGCGCCCAGTGCTTGGTCTTACTAGCTGCAGCTCAACTTTAACAATGTTTACAGCAGAGGAGCAAGTCCTGGAGGGCTGGCTTCCTATTCTGCCTCTATGGGTGAGTTGGCATTTATGAGGAAAATTCCAGGGTGTGAGGCTACTCAACAGCCCAGCTCGTCGGGCAGAGCCCGCGGGTACTTGCGGTCAGAAATGAAGGAGATTCCAGCCACAAATTGGAGCAAAACAGCGGTTAGTAGACCAAGATCCTTTTTGTTGCGCAACAGGTTCCCACAGGAGTAAGAACCCCGAACATGGGGTGACATTGACTTTTAAAACTTCCCACGGTCACCCAGAATACATTGCATACAGACCCAATCGCCTTCTCAATCCAGCCCGCGGATGGTCCAGGAATCAGCGTGTTTTAACATGAGTAGAATGTATCCTCTTACTCAAAATGCATCTCTGGGTTATTTGTGGGGCATAGGAATCTGGGCTGGGACAAACTTCCTCTACATGTGACTAAAGGTGGGTGTGGACTCACCTGTGCAGGTAACGACAAAAGCACAGGGCAGGGCAGCCATCTCTCTCTCTTTCACCACATGCATCGAAGAAGCAACATCTGCTTAGCCAAAGATGCCCTCTTGGCCTCCAGCCAAGAGAGGACAAAGGGACTGTCTTCTTATGGAATAGTTTTCAAGTGTATGTTACTTTTCTAAGCTAAGTCTGCCTTCTGGGATCCGATTGTGAACAGAATGTGAGTAAACTCTTTTTATACTTTTATGGAAGACTGTGTCATGTCTTATCTTTTATGAGGGAAAAAGGGGGGAAATACCAGAACAGTTATTATAGAGGCTTTAGCAAGCCCGAGCAAACGCATCCGCTGCAAATTTTAGAAGAGGGGAATGTTACTCTGCTAAATTGTTGAACTTGTTAACACAAGTTGGATAAGGATATAATCAGACAATATATCCTCTCCTGCATCCCTGAACATTCCCACAGGTCTGAGGGACGGTGGACAGGCCATAGGCAAACATGTCCAGACTTCTCACTCAGTACAAGCTGAACACAGGCAAACATGTCCAGGCACCTCTTAAGTAAAGCTAAAGGTAAAGGGAGCCCTGACCATTAGGTCCAGTCGTGACCGAATCGCGGTTGCAGCGCTCATCTCACCTTATTGGCAGCCGAGGGAGCCGCCATAAAGCTTCCGGGTCATGTGGCCAGCATGACTAAGCCGCTTCTGGCGAACCAGAGCTGCGCACGGAAACGCTGTTTACCTTCCCGCCGGAGCGGCCCCTATTGATCTACTTGCACTTGGACGTGCTTTCGAACTGCTAGGTTGGCAGGAGCAGGGACTGAGCAACGGGAGCTCAGCCCGTCGCGGGGATTCAAACTGCCGACCTTCTGATCAGCAAGCCCTAGGCTCTGTGGTTTAGACCGCAGCGCCACCCGCGTCCCTCCTGCACATCCATACCCTGGGGCAAGTCTGGGGATGGGCTCTTGGTTTCTTTGGCCAACTAACTGCTCAGTAATTGTCACCTTTGGGCACTTCCCTGGGTGTGGGGGGGTGTACACGTGTCCTCACGCTTGAGGGATTATGGCGGGAGATAGAGGGGGAAAGAGTCATTTCCTTAAGGGCAAGAATGGCGTTGGAATGGAGGAAATTGATACAGGGGGTGGATTTTCTGAAGTGAGGGGCTTTTCCTAAGCCGGCAGTCCATAAGGGAAGTGGCTTGGCAGATTTCTTGCAACAAAGGATCACTTTTTGCAATAGAAACCAGTTAATGGGCTTTTGATGGGCTGAGTCCATTGTTCTCTCAGCAGGCGACCATTCAGGAGCTCAGTCAAGCTGGCGAAGCTCCGCTGCGCTGCAGAACGGAAAGAGGCAGCGGTACAAGACAGATTCTGTCCACTAGAGGCCGCTAAGCGCTATTGGCTAGCTGTCCAAATCCGATGCTTTTGATTGGTCTATACGCAGCAGTATGTAAATACAGAGTTCATGCCCAAGTCCCCGTTCATATTGATACGCTTTCATACCAGAAAGAGGGAAGCAGGGTCTTTCATTAATGAAAAAAGATGTGGTGCTTGGTGCGACAGGGGAAGGAAAGGGCTTTCTCGAGCTCATTGTCTCGCGCCCTAGCTATGTGGAGGGGTTTCTGGGGAAGGCGAGATCCCTAGCGAATTTCCCCCTCGGAAATTCCGTATAGCATATTCTTAAAAAAGGGGGGAAAGGAAAAAGGAGGAGGGGGAGGAGAAAAGACTGAAAGGGAAGTGTGATGGGAAGATGAGCTGCTTGTGCGTAAAATCGTATTCCCTCAGAGTTTGTTCAAGTCCACAAACCTCTGTCTGTGACTGAGCCCCTCTGACATGGCTCCTCTAGTCACTAGAAGATTCCGACAGTGGTTGCTTTCGTAATCGCTTCCAACATAAAAGCTCCTTAACGGAAACACGTCTTCTGGACTCTCTGCGTGACAGTTTCCGGCGAGGAGTGGGTGTCCCTACAGGAGGTCCGGAAACCTCACCACTGTTTTCGCTGGAAGTATCTCTGAGCCATCCCCCAGCTCCCTTTCCTCAGTTCAGCTTCTCTCCCCTGCTGGTTTCCTCTTCAGCTGCTGAGTCTCTTCCAACCTGTCTGAGCCCTTTCACCTCCCTCAGTTCAGCTTCTCTCCCTTGCTGGTTCCCTCTTCAGCTGCTGAGTCTCTTCCAACCTGTCTGAGTCCTTTCACCTCCCTTCCTTCCGATGGCAGTTCCCTGACATCCACCTCCCCTCCAGGGCCCCCTTCACCCCCTCTCGCCCTCCTCTACGGGCGGTGAGGAGGCAAAACCCCGGAATGAACTTCCTTCATCTTCCGATGTCTCGAACACTTCTCTCCACCTGTTGCGGTTCCTGGTCTCAAGCACTCCCCTCCTCCAAGTCCATCTCCCCTTCCCCTCCGATTCTGGGAATCCTTCCAACTCCTCCTCCTCCTCAGTGGTCCCAAAGTATTCCCTCCGGAACCTCTCCACAGGCTGAGGTTTCCTCGGGAACCTTTGATGGAACGTTTCTATCAATACCTCGTCATTGATATCTTCGGCCATTACCCACGTGTTTTCTGACTCCGGTTCTCCTTCCCACGCTACCAAATACTCCACCTGATTCCCCTTCCACCTGGCATCAAGGATTTCTGCCACATGACTGCTGCATTCTCTTCTATGACCGGTCCCCGAGTGGCCATCCCTTCTCGTCCCCCCTCGTACGGTGACAGTAACGACCTGTGAAATACTGGGTGCAGTTTCATGTGGTTGGGTAACCGGAGCCTGAAAGCCACTGGGTTGACCTGTTGAATGACCTCAAAGGGACCCAACCTCCTGGGTCTTAATTTCTTACAACCTCCTTTGAACGGCAACCCTCGGGTTGACAGCCACACCCTATCTCCAACCCTTATGGTTTCACCTTCCCTTCGGTTCTTGTCTGCCTGCCTCTTGTATTCTTCCTTCGCCCTTTCTAAGTTGAGTTGGAGCTGACGGTGGATTGCTTCCATTTCTTCTACAAAATGCTCGGCTGCCGGTACGCTCCATCTCTCCCCTTCTCCCCTGGGAAAGCCCTGGGATGACACCCATAATTAGCCAAGAAGGGGCTCATCCCTGTGGACACATTCTCGGCATTGTTGTAGGCAAATTCCGCCAGCGCCAACTTTTCTACCCAGTCATTCTCTCTGTCATTGACATAACACCTCAGGTATTGCTGGAGGACACCGTTTGCTCTTTCCGCCTGCCCGTTGGTTTCCAGGGTGCCGGGCAGTCGAAGAGTTGACCTCCACCTGCAGTAAGCTCATGAGCTTCCTCCAGAACCTGGAAGTAAATTGTTTTCCTCGGTCTGAGACCACCCTCAATGGCACCCCGTGCAACCTAAAAATGTGTTCTACAAATAACTTCGCTGTCTCTTCCGCCGTGACTGCATGCGAGCAAGCTACAAAGTGGCACATCTTTGTTAGTAGGTCTACCACCACCATGATGGCTGTTTTCCCTTTGGACTTCGGCAGATCAGTCATAAAATCTATCGACACTGCCTCCCAAG